TGCAGATCTTAAGAGGTAGACAATTACTGTGAAGAGGAATTCAAGTCACAAAGAGCCATTCTACCATTTAACAGACACCGAAATTATTCAAAGATGAATACTGTGGATTTATGGCAATCAAAGAATGTGACAACTCCATCTTGTTTGTTTGTTTTTTTTTTTTTCCAAATGATATTTTCTAAATTTACATCAAAATTGTGAGATTTGTGAAAAGTTATAGAGAAAAATAATATATGCCAATTATAAACACACACTGGGTTTGTGATGCAGAAGAGGATGGATTTTCAAGATAATTTTTAATAAGGTCAAATGCTTAACCTTGTATCTGTGACAAAACATTTTCCTTAAAAAAAAAGGGAGAAATTGGAATTTGGAACAAGTTACTAAGATTGCCTATATGCAAGGAAACCCCAATATTCTCTAAATGTTTGATTGTTGAATATAAACTGCAGGCAAAACACACGGAGAGAAGTAAGGTTTTCATTATGATGATTTTTATTTTTTAAGGTTTCTTCATCACATGAAAGTGATGCAATCTCATACAGCTGAGAATATAAAACAGATGTCCCTTAGACTGAGCTGGTAAAAAAGCAGCTTCCTGCCTACAATTTCTTCCACTGGTTCATTTTATTCACTGTTCTTATTTAGCCAATTACACTGCTAGCCAAAATCTTAAGAACTATGAAAATAAAAAAAAAAAATTTACCTTTTGTGTTGGACTCAACTACATATTTGAGTAGAGCTTCAAAAAAATGAAAATAAAAAAAAAGGAAAAAAATTTTTAGCATTTAATAAGGGAAATTTGAATACTGGGAAATTAGGCTAAATGCCAGCTGGTCAAAAGTTTAAGACCATATTTAAATGAAGCTTTAATTCGTAAACACATAACAAAATGTAATAGTGTTCAAGTATTAGTGCAGTCAACATCTCCCACTGGTATCTCTGGCTTTACATTAGGCAAAAAAAAAAAAAAAGCAAAATCTAAAAAGTTGACAGTTTGAACATGGCAGAGTTGTCAAGCTACAAAAGCAAGGTCTCTCTCAATGTATCATGAAATTGGACGTAGTAAAACTGCTGTTGTAAATTTCTTAAGACCCTGAGGGATGCAGAATGAGAATTTCAAGTGGTCAGCCCAAGAAAATTTTGTCGGTATTGAGTAGGATTCAATGGGTTGTCCAAAAAGACACCAGCTGATCATTGATCCAGATTAAGGCCCTTACAGACACAGAATGCGGCTCAAGAATAAGAGAGCATCTGAGAGAAAGGCTTTAAAAACTGTAAACGTCTTCAAAGTCCATGCCTCCTTCCACACCACAAAACAGCTCGGTTAAACTTTGCCAAGAAGTGCTAAACATGGGACAAAGAAAAGTGGAAGAAGGTTTTGTTCTCTGAGAAAAAAAAATTAACCTGGATGGCCCAGATGGCTTCCAACATTACTGGCACGATAAGGATATCCCAGCAATGACATTTTCTACACAATGGTGTAGGAGGCTCCATTATGATCTGGGGTGCTATCTCCTTCCAAGGAACAATGGAAGCATCAGGTTTTACGGGGGTGTCAAACTGCGGCTGGTTACATTGACATGTTGGAGAGAGCATCCTTATTGAATGAAGGCCCTCACTTATGTGGAAATGACTGGATCTTTTAGGCAGGACATTGCTGTAATCCATAATACCCGCAGGACAAATGACTTTTTCATGGCAAATAATGCGATTCTTTTGCACCATCCAGCATGTTCACCCAACCCAAACCCCCATGGAAAATTTTGGGGGTGGATGGCAAGGGAAGTTTCAGAAATGGACATCAATTCCAAACATGAAGCTATCTTCACCACTTGGAATAACATTCCAGCCAGCCTTCTGCAGACAGTTATATTAACCATACCAAAGCGAATTTTTGAAGTTATTCACAATGACAGCCTTGCAACTCACTACCAAGATGCTCTGTTGGGAGTTTCTTACTCTGTTGTTTATGACTTCTTTTAGACAGTCTTAAACTTTTGAGCAGCTAGTATTTAGCCTAACTTTCCTCTATTCAAAATTTCCCTATAAAATGCTAAAAAATGTTTATTTTGTCAATTTTTATTTTTCCTTTTTTGATGCTCTACCCAAATAAGTAATTAAGTCTAACAATGCAAAATTTGTTTTCTTTATTTTCATTAACCTTAACATTTTGGCCACCAGTGTATTTGAGAAAGATAGTGGAGATTTAAATAGATATTTTCAAGGGAAAGTGGAATATTTTCAAAGAAAATATCAAATTCCATGCTGATATACAGTCTTAGGCAGAGTTATTTGAAAACATCTGATTTAAACAAAAAACATTTTGACAACAAGGAAATTAGTTTCCTTCAGTTATCAGCAGTCACTCAATAAGATAGCCATATAATATACAGCTGTACTAAAAAGATACTGTCATTTCAGATTTTATTGCTTTACTATTGAGTGAAAAAAGCAAAGAATGTGGTCAAGTTGTCTAAACTTACATCAAAATTTTGCATCAAAGATTGCAATTTATATTATGCACGCACAAAGAGGACCTTGCATTCTCCTGAAGAAAAATAGTTCCTTTGGAATTGATTAGCAGAAGATATTTTGGAACTAATACTTAGGGAATTCACTTAAGTACTCATTTCCTTCTTTGTCTATGCCATCTGTCATATATATATATATATATATATAAAAAAAACAACAACTCAATTCCTGGAATGGTAAGACTGTTTAATGTATTCAAATCAGCCCTACTTCCATTTTGAAAGTGGCTCATTATCGAATACGAACCTTTTGAAAACACTTCTCAGCAGCATTACTGCTAAACAGACTTGTCACAAATACCAGGTAAGCTTATCTGTAACATCTCCAACCCCTCAAATGATTTTGCATTAAACAGATCATATCACAAGATTGTGCTATCACCATTTCTCATCACTATAAACATTAGCTTTTGGATTTGTCAAAATTGCCATAGGGAAAGGAGAGAAAAAAAAAAAAAAAAGACTCAAAATGATATTTTCCAATTTATGGCTTATTTATCTGTTAACAGTCAAATAAATACAGCTACAATAAATTCACATCTCTAATAATAGTAATGGTATTCCAATCCAAAAGTCAAAGATTTGCATAGTTATTTTCATATGGTATTAAAGACAACTCAAAGCAATATATTAAAAATACAAAAACTCAAAGCCTCAGTCTTGATGCTGACAATAAGAGATTTATAACCTTGGGAATAGGAAAACCAATATCAAACTTCTTCAGGATGAAACTTGTAAAATATATATATATATCTTCATTTAAAGTACAATTCATATACACGTAGAACATTTTGACAATCAAAGTTCATGGCTAAAATGCTTTATTTTGATTTACTGGAATAGAGGTTAATATTGAAAGTAGTAGTAGTAGTAAGAGTATTTTATGGCCACCTAGCCATCTCATTTCTAGTTTTATAATTTCAGAAATCGATGATTGAGCTTAACTTATTTGATCTGATGAATCCTTTCATCAAGGAAATTAATCTCTCAGAAAACAAAAATTCATAAAACCATTTAAATTTTTCCAGTAAAAAAAAAAAAAAAAAAAAAAACGCAAAATTCCTACAGCTGCAATCACAGAGAAAGTTTAAGTTGAAATTGTTTGATGCATACAATAATATATCATGAGAACAATCAGCAATATACAAATTTGAAGACATTGAGACTAATTTGTTTACCAAACTAAAATCATCATAAGGAACATTATTTGAAATTGAAATCATAATATTCTTAGTTAGCCACAATTCAAACGATTATATTGAAACAATATGAGCCTAAACTGTTTCTGTAAGAATATAAAACAGTTGTATAAACTCCAAACACTTAAATGTGTCATCTTGTCCATCACTATGAAGCTGACAGCCAATAATTAACTATTGCCAAGCTAATGAACACAGAAACGACATTCAAGACTCAATATCTAGTTAATACAAACAATATCGAATGCATTCCATATAGACAGATCTTAAAATAATTTGCTTATATTTCAATAAAGCAAAAAAATTTATGTTCAGCCTTTAAAAAGAAAAATTCATATGCAGAAAGTAATCTATTAGCAAACCAAACTTAGCATTTACACACTGGGAAAAGCTTTAAGTGAAAAAGAAAAGGCTAAACACTAATCAGAATGTTTAAATTTAAAAATAATTTTGGACAAAATTCTTTTAAAAAGGGATTTACTTTTTTTTAAATCAATCATAAAAATATAAGCTTCAGGTAACTCGGAAAAAGAAAAAAAAATGTTTTTCACACTAAAACCAGTAATAAATCTATATATACCAGCAGACTTTTTTTCTTAAAGAAAACAAAGAAAAAGTTGAGCAGAGGTAGGAAAAAAAAAAAAAAAGAATTTCAAATTGTCAGTTTATTTGGTTTTTGAAAAAACTTCTAAGCCAGATTAACTTTCCGCATAATAGGCCCTTTGTCTTTCAACAGACTTGGGAAAACATTACCAGTCTTTATAGATATTTTCTATAATCCAGACTGTTACAAGATGAAAAATGTTAAAAAATAATAAGTCAACATAAGCAGCCGAAATCTATAAATTCCAAATAACAAGTAAACAGGCCTGTGCCTACTTTACAAGATATGAGCACAAATAAAAGATATTTTTGAAAGCTAGAAATGCTTCTGGAGACCATGGTATGTGGAAAAGATTTACTCAAAAAAAAAAATAAATAAATAAATAAATAAATAAAAAGAAAAAAAAATAAACAGCTCAGGATGGCACATATCAAGTTATTTATAAGCCAGCAGCCATTATGGAGACAATTTAAGTTCCAAAATCCCAATAAGGACATGAGATTGGAAAGTGGGAAATATACAGTTATCCTTTAAAATAGATAAAATGAATAGGATATCAGATAAAGAGAAAAAAATGGTGGGTGAGTGGGAAAAAAATACAGCAATTACAAGTTTGCACAAGTGCCAAGAGGATTGCAAACTACTCCAAACTGACACCACTCATCAGTTAAGTGCTGCTAATTTCTTCTGAAGTTCCTCAATTTGACGTTGAATTCTTTCCTTCTCGGCTGTAATAAGAAGTAGATTTCAAATTCATTTATTTATTATAATAAAAAAAGTGTAAATATTTTTTATGCATATAATTAAAAAAAAAAAAAAAAAAAACTTGCTAAAATTACCTTAGCATTATTCATAACCTAATATTAGTATTGAAAGTAATTACTACTACACATCTTTGCTTTTATTGTATTATTGCGGCCAGACATCTGTACACTCTAAATGAAATGTATAATGAAAATGGATAAAAAAATTGTTTAAAGAAAAACTTAAGAGAATTTTTCCCTTTATATACAAGATATTCCAAGTTAAAAAATAACAAAAAGGAATCTCTACTCTAAACCAAATATAAAAATTTCTGGGAACAAACAAATGGTGAGTTCAAAATTTAGTGGCTCACAAAATATCAACAAAAGCCATAACCTGTCATTTCTGGCAAGTATATAATAAACAGAATCCACTAGACAAGACAAATTCAGGTGAAGGAAACGATCTAGCAAAATTGATTGCATCAAACACAAGCCACTGTAGAAGTCAAATAACTAACTCTAAAGTGCCTGGTTCCAGGAGAATCTTGAATTCTTTTTGACAAGGTCCCGAAAGGGTAGCATAATGGGACTTAATAAATATGCCCAGGCAAATTGGTTTACCAGACCAAACCAAGACCTTGCATCAGTGATGGTTTTCAGAACAGGGAAATTTAAAATGGCATTAAGCATAGATTCAGAAGGAGATACTCCCAATGATATTATTTGCAGTCCCCCCAGACTGAACAGTGTTCTTACAAAACTGGAATTTGTCTTTGCTGAGTACAATCCCATTTTGTGCGCATCTCATTAGAAAATCAAAAGGTATGATAGAATGCCTCTTTGATATTGGTGTCGTAGAGCAAGGTGTCATCAACCAATTTGATTTTTCTGGCAATGTCTTTTATAACCATCATATCTGCATCGCCAGATGCCCAGTAGCCTTGATGCATCCTAAGGTTTCCCATCCTAACCTTCCCCATTCTGTTATAAAAGTTGTGAGTGATTGGGACTTCTCATCTAATAGAATATAGTGCACCCAGCACCGTTTCCTTGGTATTGGGTGGCACCTGCAGTGCCAGCTGGAAAGATGAGGCAGTGTGGTGTGTTTATCGCTTGCAATGCGAATTTAGATGTTGATAATTGATGGTTCACCTTGGTTGACCATCCTTTTTTGTTGTAATCACTATCATGCTGCACCAATTTATAGAAATGCCAATGGATACTTGTTTTAATATGCCCCTTTCTATGTCTCACATAATGGCTTGTCTTACTAGTTCTTTAAAGTGGTATGGCACAGGTATAGGTCTGTGCTTAGCTTTAGGAACTGCCCCCTCCTTTAGATGGATATGTGCAGGTTTACCAGACATGGCTGGAAATTGCCTATCAGTCTTGAATGCTGAATTAGCAAATTCAGCTAGTAATCACCTTTTCAGCTTCTCCACATTTTCTTCATTTGTTGGGAAGGAAGGTTCATCAGGGTGAATTGGTAGTTAAAAGTCTGTGGATTACTTTTTGCTCCATATTGTGGAGGCACACAGTTGCTGTATAATCACTAGGCATCCAATTTACTTTGCTTGGGGCTGTCATAGACATGTGTGGGGAAGTGAGGAGACAGTATGCCTACATCAATACAGGCTGCCTTGCTAAAATATAGCTTATAGATCTTGTTGCAGACATACAGGGCTTACTTTGTAGACATTTCTCCAACACTGAACTGAACAGGAAGCCATCTATGGCTTATAAGAGTTGAGCCCCCTACTGCACAAATAACTTTTTTGGATGGGATCAACTTTCATTGAGACACATGCAATGTAGGTGCTTGGGTCCTGCCAGGCAGATAGTGGCACCACTGTCTGGAAAGATCTTCAACCAAATGCTTTGATTACCTGGAATGTCTTCAGGATTTCTGGGGTCTGGCTTTGGATAAAATGGGACCAGTGTTGCTTCTATCTCTACAATACTATTTTTGTTAGATGACACATATGAGCCTTTCTCCTGGTCAAACTCAACGTGTGCAATCAAACTGTCCATGTTAGCTTCATCATCTTGAAGGCCTCTCACTTCACTAGAGTGACTTCTTGATCTGGACTGGCAAAAATTTGAAAAATGACCTTGGATGTTGCATGAGCAATCCTGCAATATAGAAACACCCCTATCCTGGGCATTGGCTTATCACCAGCACAAATCCTGCTTTATAGACGTCTTCGAGATTTTATCCCATCACACACACACTTATATAAGCCACACTCTGAGTGGATAGCTGCAACCCAAAGACATTATCCAAATGCAACGCAGTCATCATCAAGAGGTACAATAGGGCGACACAGTTTCCATTCAAAACCCAAATAGCCATCGATGGGATAAAGCTGGGTGAATAGTAGAAACGTTTCCCAACCATCAATATAGGATTAGAGTTGCAGGATCAGGTAGAATAACCCTGTGGAACCGGAGATTCCTGAGGAAACTTGAAGCACCTGTAATCAAGACCCCTATCCTAAGTGCCTTGCCTGTGTCCCTTGGACCAACGATCATGGATATATGTAGGGCATATCAATCTGACAAGAAATCTGGAAATGGCGACATTACTTTGAGTAGGACCCTGGGATGCCAGGTCACTTCGCAGTTACCGTCATCAAGAACCAGGACCCCCAGGGTGCTATCCCAACTACTCCCATACAATCGTCCAGGCAATAAGGAATTGATTCCTCCTCAGCAGCCACTACGCTCCCGCAATGGGGAGAGAAGGGAGATGCAGAAGTCAAATAACTTACCTTCTAACATGGCTGCCTCCTTGTGTCTCCTTGTAGAAAGGCAGACCAGCTAATCTACTTCATTTATAGGAGATTACCTAATACAGCAGGTGGGTTAGTCCACTTTACTATAATGGACCTGCCCAACACATTTGCATGAGTGGACTCTACTCACTCATATATCTCTCCATTAAATCACTCAGTGGGTATTTTTCCATTGGGAGTGACTACACCAGTCTACTTGTGTGTCAATTAACCAATATTCAACAGCCACCTACAAACATTTCATCACCACCACATACATAATTGGTCTACATGAAGGTTGCATATTTTTGTTATGAAACGCTACCAATCTTAATCAGACATCAGATCCTTTAGCTCTTTTCAGCAACCCTATATAAAATAGGATCAAACCATCACATGTTTCACATCACAATTTTTACACAGATCCAAAGTTGTAGAGGTGGAGTAATTTATAGTGACTTGCACACACAGGATGACTGCTTATGAAAATATTAAGTGACAGCTAAAGATGAATGAATGCCATATACATCTGAAAGAGGCTGAAGAACACATCGGCTATAAACATAAAAAATACTAGTCCAAATAATATTAACAATGAAAATTTTTCATCAAAACTCTAAACAATTAAAATGAAGTGTTTTCAACAAATCTGACTTACCATCTTCTGCAGATTTATGAGTAGGAGCAGGAGGAGGAACAGGAACATCCTTATTCTTTAATTGATCTTCAAGGTCTTCCTCAAATATAATTTGATAACTGTTGCCGACTTTCTGAACCACTTTCACATTCATAGTCTGATCTTGAAATTTGCTTATTTCGTTTGTCCATTTTTGTTTGGAAATTCCTGGAAAGAAAATAAATAACATGTATTTATTTTAAATTGAAGAAATTTGAAAGGTTTTGAAATTATGTGTGTGTACATTGTTGTTTTTTTTTTTTTTTTTAATTTTCTTTTTTTACTTTATTACTATTATTTTTGTTAAGTACCCAAAGAAAACCAACTTCAAGGCTACAATATACGAAATGCATTAAAAAAAGTATCTGATTATTTTTCCCCCGCCAAAATTGTGTCAGTTCCTGGTTGCTATGCCTAATGTACAGATGTGTAGTGCACATTTGTTGGATTTTTCTTTTCACATAGGATGACAGAACGCAGCAAGAAGAGATATTGCATCAAGTTTTGTCAAAAGCCTGGTGATAAAGCATCCAAAAGATTCAGCAAGCCTTCAGCAATGATACCATGGGCAAAATTCAGATCAAGGAGTGATACAATTGCTTCCAACATGGCCAAACCTCAATAAGTACAGGATCCATGCATTACATTTTAATGGGGGAATTGTGCATGCAGAGAGTGTCGAGAAAATGTCCCCAACGTGCTGGCAGAGCAGCAGAAGCAACTATGCATAGAAATCATGTGTTTTTCAGATTGGGAAAGAACCAGAGGTCACAGTATTAAGTTGGGAGAGTAGGGAGCCTGTTGAATTCTGCTTGATGCGCTCAGTCATCTTGTATAAAAACAAAAATCCGATGAGCACATACATGTCTGTACTGTAGGTGCAACAGAATGTTCACAGGAAGGGTGGTGTCAGCTCCCACCTAAAAGTTTTTTCCTACACAGCATTAGTTTTGATGGGAAAGAATAATGTTAGATACTTTTTGAAAACACTTTGTACACATGAATTGAAATATGTAAAACTGCTGACAACTAGTTTAAAAAAAAAAAAAAAAAAAAACTTATCAGAAATTGCTTAAAGATATCAAATTTATCTTAAAATTAAAAATTATTAAAACAAATTTTATGTAAGACTAATCGCAAAAATTACAAACTTTAAACTCAAAGGATGTACAAATTCAAGAATGGAATTAAAATGTTAAAAAAATAGAAAAATCTTTTAATGAATGTTGATTTTATAGCTTGTTTAATATTAAATATCCTTCCAACTTAACATTAAAATTATGTTTTAAACAAAGAAATTCTTACCTGTTAAGCAACACTGGACAGCTAAAATCGGAAACTCTACAAATATTTCAGAGGATATTTCTCGGAGTTGAGCTTTATCAACCAAAGAAACATTACCATAATCTATGAAGAAAACTTCCACTTTATCTTTATGGGTATCAATCACTTTTGCACGGTACCAATCATCTGTCAAATATAATTTTAAAGCAGTTAAACAATTAAGCAAAACAGTAACAAAGGAAAGAGAGGAAGATGCAAGAAAATGAGGGAAAAAACCATACCTAAGTACTTAGCAGCAACCAGTTGTCCCTTTTCAGGTAGAGAAGTAGGTTCTTCTGAAGACTCATCACATAGTTTGCCCAACTGCCCCATGAGTTCAAAATACTGTAAAATAGCTAGGAGAGAAAGAATGAAAAATAGCTTTATTTTCCTAAAAAAAAAAAAAAAAAAAAAAAGAAACAATTGAATAAAAATGCAATGACATCTGAAGAACAGGATTAAAGAAAGCAAAGAGGTTTTTCATGTATTTACATTTTCCTGTTATAGCAATAGTTTCTACAGTCTGAGAAACTGAGAATAATGCTTTAGCATCACAATTAAGAAAAGAAAATGTACTATGTAGGAAAAATGATCCTTATTGTGCATGACACTTGTGGTTTCTTATCAGACTAAAACTACTAAGCTTAGTAAATATCAGTTATACTTCAACAACCATAAGAGATTGTACAGAGTTTTAGAACTAAATGGTGTTGAGAACACTCCAATTTCTGAAATCTACAAAACTATCACATTAGATCTATTTTAGACTAGCTTTCTAAATGATAAACAGAAAAACTTAAATATATTCACCTGTATCATCAAGCAGCTGACAATAAAAAACATCGGCACCGGCAACTGATGTACAGTGAAGCTTGTAGCAACTGTTTGTGTCTAACATCAGGCAGTTCATGTTCTTTGTGTAATACTTTATTTTTGGGCTGTTAACACATGAAACAAAATCAGAATCTGCCTGGCTTTCCAAGCTTAAAGTTGAGAGTTTTCTTTCATTCATCTGAGTGACATGCTGACAGGATTCACTAGAAGAACCCTCTGCAGGAATAGATGTGGACTGAAAAGGAACAGTTTGTATGGCTGGGTCTAGTGCAGCAGAACTCTCAGAGGAAAGAGATGATGTTTGAGAACTTGGAGTGAATTCAGTGGAAAAGCCATGTGGAGAATTACCAGCCTGAGAGTTAGACTTAAGGCTCTCAGTTTCAGAAACATAACCACTTGCAATTTCTTCTTTAAACATATCATTCAAACATTCCCCATTACTGTCATAGACAACAACATTAAAAATTTCATTGTTTTGTGAAACTATTTTATATTTGCATATATTATTGAGGACCAGCTTTGCAAACTGTAGTAGTCCATCTTTGGGAATGCTTGCATTGTGAAGTTTGCAGTGGATAGCTTGTTTGGGATAAGAAAGAAAACGTTTTGGAAGTGGATGCAACTGGCTTGATGATAAATGTTCACAATTGCCATAATCAATAAAAAAAACTGTGAACATTGAGTCACCATGTACTTTCAATATTTGACCACGGTACCACTTATGGTCAACAGAGAATTTGGCAGCAACAATCTCATTCTCACAAGCAACATAATCTGTTCCTTGATTTCCAACCTTGTCCAAAACATCATTGAAATGAATTTGAAATTCTTTCTGATCAGACTGAATCAGATTAATAAAAAAGGTTTCCGATTGAAAGTCAATAGCAATGCCACTCTGAACACTGCCAACAGCAAGATCAATTTTAGGAATGTCTGAAATTAATACTTTAGAATGTTGCAAAGACTGCTCTTCATGAGATGTAGATTCTGGATTCATAAGAATAGCATGTCCATCAAGAACTAACAAATCAGCAATGGAAGCATTGGTACATAGGTCAATCAATTTCCAGAGACATCTTTGATTCATATCAAGTCCAATGTATTCACCAAGTATATGCTGCTCCTGGACACGAACACTGGCATTCATGGCTTCTAATGTTTCCTGAAAAATGTTACAGAGTTTTGGAGACCATCCTTTATCTGCTGGTTTTATTTCAGCCAATTTGGAATGAACAGTAATAACAGAGTGATCAAGACAGAAGGGTGGAGCAGAACGCACAGTGTGAGTAAGTACAGTCTCTATACTGCCATAATCAAGAAGACGAACAGTCAAACTCGCATCTTCAATCTGCATTACTTCAGCCCGGCACCAGTGACCTTGAGGTTTTTGAACAAGGACAAGCTGACCCTGAACAAGCCTAAAATTTAAGAAATGTTTTGGTTTACATTAGAAATGCATAGAAATTTAACAAATTAGTAAACTTAATTTCAAATGAAAAAAAAAAAAACAACAAAAAACCAGGTCAGAGTTTTAAGAATATGTAAATAATAGACCTATTAAAATAATATTTTTTTCAAGTTGGCATTAAGTGAATCAAAAATTTAGATCATTTTGACAAAAAATAAAATCCCAGAAAAAAATCAGATTACAAAATGGATTAACATTAACAACTGAATTCTACAGAGGAGTTGGGATCAAAAATAGATTGAATATAGATCGAAATCCAACAAAATGACAAGATAACCAAATAGGAAACATTTATCAATTTAACATGCTTCACTTTTATTAAAACTTTGTGGGAGACTGAGATATGAATAAAAACAGAGAAATTCTGGTATTTTAATTTTGTATTGTCTGATTTTCATTGGTCGATCATCATGTATCATGTGCATTCAACTCTTTTAGACCAACATTAGTATAATTACAGGCATTCTCAATTCAAAGATATGACATCCATCTGATTTTTCAAGTAATTCCAAGCCTACCTGAAAAACTATAAATATTACGATATATTAGTGTATAAAAATTCTATTTTGTCTATGTGAGAATTTAGATGATAATGTATATTCATAATTGTGCATGTATGTCTAGTAGACATTGTTGTTTTTTTTGGCATGTTGATTTGATAACATTTTACATAGGTACCTCCACGAGATCGCTAAAAAAAGAGCATAGCATGATGAAAAAAATACGCGTAAACTTGACGAAAAACAAAATTTTATCGTCTAAATGTTTGTTATTATTAAGAGGAAAGGTCAAAGTATTTTTTGGGGTATTTTTTCCATTTTTAATCGTTCCTAGCACGTCCGAAATTTTCGTTAAAAATCTAGTTTTTTTGAGTCAGCAAAATTGACCATTTTTTTCCATTTTAAAAAAAACTGGAAATCTGACTTTGAAATTTTTTAAATATCAATTATCATTTTTTCAAAACTTATTTTAAGAAAATCAGAAATTATAATGTTTATTTAAAATATTTGGAACCAAACTTAACTTAGCTTAGCTTTTGTGCCAAAAAGATGTAATTTGAAAAGAAAACAAAGCAGGTCATAAACTTCCGCGTCTCTTGACATGTGATGAATGATATATTTACGAATTCCATGAGGCTAATTTGTTCTACGGAAGGAGAAAAGTGAAATAATTTACATTTACGTGAACAAATTATTTACCCCGTTATTTTTAACGAAAACTTTCAGCAGTCTAATTTTTTTTTTTTTTTTGTACTTAGCTTTCACCTTTATGTTTATGATGCTTTATGGGAAATATATTATAAAGAAATTAAAATAAAACTGTTAAGAGTGACATTAAATTTCATATTTCTTAAGAAAGGTATCTAATTAATTTATAGGTACCTTTCTTATGAAATTTTATCAGAATTGTACATAAAATACTATAATTTTATGTACATTTATTACATTCTACTGTTATTTGTATTTGCATTCATTTTATTATTAATTTTGATATTTCATTTATGGAAAAATGTCATAACTGAGATTAATATAAAAAATAAGATCATATAAATTTCATAAGATGATACTGATACTTGTAGGTACCCTTCTCAGTTGAAATTGAAAAATCAAATTAACTTCTCCACACGTGTTTCTAAAAGTAAAGGCCTTAACAGCGGAGAACAATGCTTAACTCAAATAACATAACTTAATTATATTCTGGTTGGTCTTCCGTATTTTATAATTACAGCTCAATTATAAGCACAAAATTACATTTCTTAATTACTGTGGATCTTCTGATTAGTCAAAATGATACAATTTACAACGCTAAAAAAAGATCTCTCTCATAAGGACACTTATGAAAGCCTATCGACTTTTAACTAATTTTATAATATTTTAACAACTTAAATGTAAAATCTATTATAATTAATGAAATAACAAATAATTGTATTAAAAATTCATTTTTCATTGAAAAATTTTTTTTGCTTTCAGAAAATATTGTCCATATTCATAAAAACAACTAAAAGCAAATAAAAGCATTTGAAATTAAATAATATCTTCGTTTTATTGAGTTTTGTATGTTACAATTCAGAGCTGATTTTCAGGTACTGCGTATCCAATTAAAAACAAAAAAAAAAAACGATTTGCATTCCTCAAAGCCCTGTGCTTTTAATTATTGTAATCACTAAAACCGATGTGATCGAATTTCTAGCGTTTTCATAAAATTAGTTATGGGGAGGTAATAAATATTTTTAAAAAATATTTCTACCATGACTTTAATAAAAAAAACATATTTATAATAATTTCGAGCATCTGTGAATAGTTCCTGAAAGTTTCATTTACATCTGATAATTATTTCTATTTTTGCACGATTTTTCAAATTAATGTGTCATACCAAAAAACGTACTAAAATTGTCTATGTTATTTACTAGTTCCGCTGATACAAATAGAAAAAGGTTTTTTTTATCAAAATTTAGAATGTTCTAAAAGAAGGAAAATTTTTTTAAAAGTAATTAAAAAAAAAAAAACTTTGGTCTTTCCTCTTAATAATAACATAAGCATTTAGACAATAAAATTTTGTTTTTCAGTCTAAATGTCTTTTTTCATCAAGCTATGCTCTTTTTTAGCGATTTCGTAATTCGGTACCTAATTTTGCATACAGAGTTTGTTTTAGATAAACATACATTAGATTCTTTAAAAATGGATTCAATAAAGGTTGGCAAAGTAATATATTTTTGACGTGTTTATAATTGGAAATAGCATTATTATCAGACTTTCAAAGTATTTTCTCAGAGTCTGTCTATATTTCCGAGATGAGGTATTATGTACATTATTCAGACTATTGTCCTCATCTTTGTTGCCATATTTATCACGTTTCGGCTGTTGTACGCCTTCTTCAGGTGGTTGGAATGTCGAATCCATCAAACATGGCACGTGGAACTAGAACAATCTACCCCGGTGAGTGAAATAAAGGGTTCAGTTTGACATTCCAACCACCTGAAGAAGGCCGAAGCGTACAACAGCCGAAACGTTGTGATAAATATGGCGACAAAGATGAGGACAATAGTCCGAATAATGTAAATAATGTATTTTCTCAGAGTTATGTTCTTTTTTAATTCGAGTGACATTAGTAAAAATCAAAGTTCTGACCAGTTATGTTCCTGTGTATCATGTGATGGTTGTTTTTTGTGTTTACAGATATGATCATATAATGTCTCCTCTACATAAACTCTTTCATATTATAAACAATTTATTTGATAAGTACTGGCATTGGAATTAGTGTCGAATTTATTTTTTCTTCCTAATTATAACCGAGATTGTCTTGGACATGGTAGTAAACATCATAGTATTAAGGACAATTAATTTATTTTCAAGTTTAGTAGAAAGAGTGTTAGAGCGTAGGATTATAAATTGTGTTTTTTTTTTTTTTTTTTTTGGTTTATTTTTGAGTGGTGTCCAGTTTCTTTGGATTTGTGGATTTTGTAAGCTTGTTTTCTAGTATTAAGGATTAAATGGCATGGGTAGTGAAGTCTATGTTTTCAATATATTTCTCTTCACTTAGGTATTATGGGCTACATATTCTAAGGGCTCTGAAATAGAATCCTATGACTAATCCTGATTTTATATTTTGATTGCAGTGGGAAAGAGAAATTAATTAAATTGTTTTTGGTAGCATGTTTAGAATAAACTTAAAGTCTAATTTTTTTATTGTTATGTATTGATATGATGTTAAGGAAAGGTAGAGATTTGTTCATTTCAATTCATGTGTGAATTCAATGGTAGGTTCAATAATATTAAGTTTCATTATTATGTCTAATAGATTTATATTATGTGGATATAATAAAAACACACTACTATATATATATATATATATATATATATATATATATATATATATATATATATATATTATTAGGTAAGTAGAGCTTTTAGGTATGATGTGTTTAAATAAACCAAATTCTAAAAATTCTAGGAAAAGACAAGCAAGAACACCACTAATAGGTGACCCCCATTGGTAAGCCAAATTTTTGCTTACAGAAATTTTTATTGAAAGAGAAAAAAAAGTGGTAAGTGATTAACTTACATGGTTTTATAATTTTAAGAAAAAGTAGAGGAAGCTTTTCTTTGGAATTTATTGAGGTGGTTTCTCAATATGTTGATGTCTGTTTTACAGCTTATCAACCCTTTGTGGGTCATTTAAAGTAAAGACATTTTTATATTTCATAAAAAATTTTTTTCTTTTAATTATACCCAATCATATGATATCAACTATTTATTTACTTTTTTTTTTTTTTTCAATCACATGGTATCAACTACTTTGGTTGGTTTAGATATCAGTTTTTTTTTTTATAGGTTTATAGTTTTTGGTATAAAACCACTCTTTTGAGAAATGATATATCATCCATCTACACTCTTTCAAAGAGCTCCCTTATGTTGTTTACATTAAAGAAAATCTTCCTAGATGAAGCAAGCACTGTGCACTTAGTACATGGTTTATAGTGTAAGCAGATTTGCATGTTGGGCATGTTGGTTGTCCTTCCTCTTTCAGTAGATGAGTATATAATTCTTGTATGGCTAATGTGCAAGTGGGCCAATATTACCTCTTTTCAGGACTTTCTATATCCTGGCTTCCATTTGCCAAATACTAGCTTGATACGTAGTAATTTATTTGGAGCATTGTTACTCCAACATTGTTGCCATTTTCGTTTAATAAATCTGTACCTGGCTCTTCAGGTCTGTGTAAGGGATCTTAAAGATTAGGTCAATTCCCATATTTTCATCATGTTTAGCAGCTGAGTCAGTTTTGTCATTTCCATTTATTCCAACATGACTTGGGATCCAACAGATCACAACATCTATCAACACAGATATTGAATGGAGTTAATTTAACAACTTGACTATTAATGGGTTGTCAAGTTTTTTGTTCGTGCTGTTAGAACTGATAATGAATCAGAAAAGATTATAATTTTTT